ATTATAGTTTCTTACCACCAAATGCTCCTTTCCTACATTGTATGTGTTCACTAGTTAAGCCCATTTTTTTCTGATGGAGCAGAAAAATAAGAGAGTTAAAAGCTGCTCACTATATGAAAAACTCCATCATGAATGTATGCCTTCACAACTGCTCACAATAGAGCATTGTCTAATGATCTTCATGATCATACAGCATGCATGAGATTGATAGTATTGTTTCCATAACATACACGTACAGTATAGTAAATGAATGCATGTCCTCATGACTGCTCACAATAGACCATTGTTAAACAATGTACAGCATTGTTTGACAATGGTCTATTGTGAGCAGTCATGAGGACATTCATTCATTTACATGTACTATACTGTACATGTATGTGATGCAAACAATACACTGTACTAATAGCAACAGTATAATTATGTGCCCTCCATGTAGATTTATGCTACCATTTTACTACTTGTCTCACACTGTTGAGCAGCTGAATTATTATTTGTCATTCGTTTATGGAAATACCTCAGTGTTAAGATATTTTTTCCTTGTTTTAGTATATATAGGGCCCACATCCACCAAACATATAGTTGTGTAAACCAAGCTTTATCAAGTGCAGTACCTGGCTGTATTTAATAAGTGCATAAGTAGTAGATTCATTATTGACATGAAATACTTGTACTGACTTAAATCTACATTCTATGCATTGCAATAGCTATATATAAATGTTATATAGCAGCACTCAGGCTGTAGTTTTGATAATATCAATGGTTTGATCATCTTACCCCTGCATGGTCTCAAATCTGCAGTGACTTGCATTCATTTTGAGAGTTATCGATGGCATGTAGGGTCATATGTTACATAAATATGAAGTTATACATGCTTCTGATATGACTTAATTTTTGACAACACTATCTAGTTTTTTTATTGTGTAAAAAGGCCTGTCCTTCTGGCCTAATTTTATTGTGTGTACTACGGTGCAATGAACACGAGTTTGTTTTACCAACTGAACAGGATATTAGTCTGCTGTATAGTTATACTGTTTGACAACACAATACAACTTATACATAGTGCATTAGGTCTTTTGTCTTGTCTCTCTTGAGAACAATAAGTGAATCAGAGGAACATGTTTCCTTCCTCTTTCCTCCTCTTACTGTATAAAAGTAATGAGACCATTTCCAGTAGATAGGACTAGTGAGGAAGAAACCTTTTCAGTGTAAAAGAGACAAGATGTTTACAATGTCAGCTATTGATCCAGCCCTTCTCATACTGGTCAATATATACGCTGATAAATTTGATCAGAGGCAAGACACCAGTGTCTATAATAATGGTGTAATGCAGGTCAGTGTATTCGTTTCGGTCAACTACAATGGGGAGGCAAGTGAAGATGAGATAATACCGTATGTGCAAGATAATGTCGTGATATATTCATTGAATTATGAAGAAAATGTCCAGTGGGAGAAATCTACAACTGATAACGGGTTTCATCATGATATAGACTATGCTGCTAACAAAAACGCATCAGTGCCTTCTAAAAGTGTTTCAGACATAAGAGTTCCATTATATTTCACTGTACCTGGTGGTACTGCTGAAGGAAAGCACAGGTGGATTGCTAAGCTAGGTGACACGCAGACTAATTACGATACACCGCTAACTATTACTGTTAAAAAATTCGATGTTTCTTCTGATAAATTAGAGATTGTCAATAGAGAAGAAGTTTCTTGCAATCAATTGCGTGTGCTGAAATACAAAAGTGAGTCATATCCAGATTCACAAAAATTGCTGAAATGTATTGATTACAAAGGAATAAAGTTTATTGGAACAGGTGGTAATGTATTTGTCTCAATGGTAATGTCAAGCAAAGGTCATAAGATGGGTTGTTTTGTTGATCACAGAGTAAAAAGTAACATAAAAATAGCCAAATCTGGACGTCTACATGCACCAGAAGAAATGATAAAACAGAATATTGAGGGCACCGGCACTATGAACTGGATCGACTGTGACTGTTTAGAAAACTCCTTAGATTTAGAATCTAGCGATATTGAGCAAGCCTGGAATGAGGGAGTAGTTTTGGTGAAGGTCCATCACGAGTCTGTAATGATGGGTAAGCAATATTCTTACGATGGTTATGGCCAGAAAGTTGATTACGAGTTAAATAATTTTGTATTGGAAGACACTTTCGGTGGCAGGGTGGAGGTCAACATTGACTGGGATGTCAGTGACTGGTGGGGAAATTGGGCCGTTAGGTCTGCTAAAGTTG